AGAGAGAGAGAGAGAGAGAGAGAGAGAGAGAGAATGGTAATTCGAAGTTCGGATCGATTTTGATTTCGGATAGGAGAGGCAAGAATAGATTGGCTATCGGTTTCGAAACGGTGACGTATGTTTCGTGTACGAATACTCGTCGTGGCCGAATACTCGATCGAGATCGAAGAGAGAGATCGCGCGTGGTACACAGATCGAAAGGGAGCGATACTATTATCGGGAGGATGCTCGCAGCTCGTTAAGGATGATTCAAGATAATATTGGTCGACTGACCATTCTACTAAACGTTTACAGCTCGTCGAGCATTCACCGTGTCTCCCGATCTCGTCTAATGGCCGCTACGTGCTGGCTGGCAAGGATCTTCCGGCCGGGATGCGGCCGATAGCTGGCGTGCGCAGCGTATTCCAGCTTTGCACACGGCCCGTCCATCGTGTCTCGTCTGCGTATATAACAGAGATAGCAGAGATTAGTCCCGAAGGGAAAATTAGCCTCGAATAACAGTCCCCGACAAAAATTAAAATCGGATCTTCTCGATTATTCGTATCATTTGATCGATTTATCAATCAAAGCTTTACGAGAGGTTTTTGAGAACGAGATCGTTAAATGGAATCACGTTTCGCCCATCCCGTGTAACAATACAATAACCGATTCCCATTGTATCGAGCATATTGTTAATATCGATTTTAATAGCATTCGTTATATTCAACATCGTGTGGCTCGATTATATTATTCAAACATTTAATTAGCCATTCGATTTATTCAGCAATAATAACAGGGGGCCGAAGAAAATTAAACGAATGGAGAAATAAAACGCGTTACGCTATATCGCCTATACCCGTTTTCGATATATATATATATATATATATCGAATATCGGCAATTTCGTGTCACACGATTCGTGCAAATTAAACATCTGAACTTTGACTCGTGATCACGGATCATTTCGAAAATAACCGATTTCGATATTATATTCCTCGTATCTTGTCACGCATGGTTTTCCCATCAAATTGATAAAAATCAAAAAAAATATCCTTCGCATCGATACGAGGAGGAGGAGGAGGAGGTGAGTCGTGGCGTTTAACGATCATCGCGTTCAACGGATGATGCGAGTCAGTGAGAGAAAGGGAGGGGGAGAAGAGGG